GGCAGAACAAAGAAAGCAACACGCAGAGTGCAGAATGCAGAGCGCAGAATACATACAGAATGAGCACAGAATGCAGAATGTGGATCACGGTGCAGACTACCAAGTGCGGAACGCAATATAGGGAATAGAGCGCAGAATACACCCAGAATGCAGAATAAATGCAAAGGGCAGAACAAAGAAATCAATATGCCGAGTGCAGAGCGCAGAATACATACAGAATGAGCACAGAATGCAGAATGTGGAACACAGTGCAGACTACCGAGTGCGGAACGCAGTATAGGGAATAGAGCGCAGAATACACCCAGAATGCAGAAGAAATGCAAAGGGCAGAACAAAGAAGGCAACACGCAGCGTGCAGAACGCCGAGTGCAGAGCGCAGAACACACACAGAAGGCAGAATAAGCACCGACTGCAGAACACAGGGTGCAGAATGCCGAATGCGGAGCGCAGAATAGAGAACAACCAAGAGTTGGAAGGCCCCATGGCGGACCAGAATCCGATATATAGGTCAGGCTGACCGTCCCCTTAATTAGTAGCCACCGCCAGGTAAGACACCCCGGGCACGCGCCAAGCTGGCATTCAGTCGCAGTGGCCAAGGGTTGGTTTTGGAGACGCCCCAGCATTTGGGGCGCTGAACCTGGAACGCAGAACCGAAGCCGTGGCGTTAAGATCGTCTTGGCCCTGTTTCCTTCTCTCCGCAGCCCAGCTGGCTAAACCGGTTTCCCAGGGTGAACTGAGGCCCGGCATTCAAACTCCCTTTAGACCAGTTGGACGAGTGGACGCTTGATAAGCCTTTTATTTATAGCTGGGCCGCCCTTCTAGTTTCCTGGTTGCCGATTAAGCGTCTTAAATCGGGAACGAGAAGCTTTTGGGAAGATTGAAATGAACTGGAGCCCGAGGTGCTAGTTTTCCCGGCCTTGGCCTGCTAGCCGTAATGAGAACAATTAATCAGGGGAACTACTTGCCACCAGAATGCTGGGAATGCTCCAACACTGGAGATGTTTAAGAAGAGACTGGACAGCCCTTTGTCCGAAATGGTACAGGGTCTCCTGCCTGAGCAGGGGGTTGGACTAGATGACCTCCGAGGTCCCTTCCACCTCCATTAGTCTATGATTCTGTAAGGGTTCCTGTCTGGGCAGGGGGTTGGACTAGATGACCTCCGAAGTCCCTTACAACTTTATTAGTAATTATTATTATTATTATTGTCTGTTTATCTCTTTCAAATATACATATACACACACATATACACACACATCATACATAATAGGCATACATATATGTGCCTATTATGTATGTTGTGTGTGTGTGTGTATGTTTATGTATACTTGTAGTATGTATACATAAATGTGTATGCATATATCTATGTGTATATCGGTACTCAATATACGACGATCAAGCCCCAAATTTATGTTGGCAAGTGAGACATTCGTTAAGTGAGTTTTCCCCCCCTCCCCCCTTTATGACTTTTCTTGCCCTAGTTGCTAAGTAAATCATTCCCGTATATACACACACACTCACATATACATACCGGTGTATATATCACAGCATATTACGTATCTGTGTGCATATGTATATTTGTACTCTTTATACATATATGTACATGTCTGCGTGGGTGTGTGTATATATACCTATATATATATAGGTCTTTGGTTATTCGGGTTTTCTACCGCGTAAAATTGGAAGTGTCTTGGCAACGTTTCGACGAAGTCCCATTCGTCATCTTCAGGCTGGTATTTTTGGCTTCGTGCTTCGAGGAGCAATGTGTGGTCTTAGCTGTTTCTTCCTTTTAACTGCCAGTGGAGGTATGAACTGATTGGGTGGGAGCTTGACTGTGTTCTGATTGGGTGGAGGTGTGTTCTGATTGGTTAGGGGTTTGGCTGTGCTCTGATTGGATGGGGGGTTGGCTGTGCATCCAATCAGAGCATAGCCAACCCCTCATCCAATCAGAGCACAGCCAAACCTCTAACCAATCAGAACACACCTCCACCCAATAAGAACACAGTCAAGCTCCCACCCAATCAGTTCATACCTCCACTGGCAGTTAAAAGGAAGAAACAGCTAAGACCACCTCTGCGTCAAACTGGAAGTGTCTTGGCGACATTTCGGCGAAGTCCCATTCGTCATCTTCAGGCTGGTGTTTTCGGCTTCATGCTTCCAGGACATATTGCTCCTAGAAGCACGAAGCTGAAAACACCAGCCTGAAGATGACGAATGAGACTTCATCGAAACGTCGCCAAGACACTTCCAGTTTGACGCAGGAGAAAACCCGAATAACCAAAGACCTACATACAAACACCCGCGAAAACCTCAGAAAACACTCGTAGAGAGAACAGCTGCATAGATGTGGATTGGGGGAAAAAGAAAAAGGGGAAATGCAAATCATTAAACAAACCCGAGCGGGAAAGTGGAAGAGGGGGATGAGAACAACCAGGGAGATAGGAAGCGCGTTCCACCTATCCTGGAATCCAAGGAAAAGAAGATAAGTGATGACATACACATAGATAAAAAGATCACCGGAGTGCAATCCACCCAATTAGGTCTGATGACAAGATCGAGGAGCCGGGCGCAGACCTTGGCTTGCTTATAAAGGGACTCCCTCACTTCCTAGCGTTTTGGTTGGTTGTTCGGGTTTTCTCCCGCGTAAAATTGGAAGTGTCTTGGTGACGTTTCGACGAAGTCCCATTCGTCATCTTCAGGCTGGTGCTTTCGGCTTCGTGCTTCTAGGAGCAATGTGTGATTGTAGCTGTTTCCTCCTTTTAACTGCCAGTGGGGATATGACGAATGTTGTGTGTGTGTGTATATGTTTATGTATACTGAAGATGACAAATGAGACTTCGTCGAAACATCGCCAAGACACTTCCAATTTTATGTGGGAGAAAACCCAAATAACCGAAGACCTACATATATATATGCAGTGTATATATATGTATGTATATATGTGTATATATATATATATATAATATAATTGTGCACATATATATGTATATATGTATCATATATATATGCAGTGTATATATATGTATGTATATATGTGTATATATATATATATATAATATAATTGTGCACATATATATGTATATATGTATCATATATATATATATATATAATATAATTGTGCACATATATATGTATATATGTATCATATATATATATATATATATATATATATATATATATACATACATACATACATACATACATACATACATACATACATACATACATACATATATATATATATATATATATAGCGCTTTGTTTTTTGTTTGTTTGTTTAAATTTGCCGCCTGAGTGGATTTTAAAAAATTCAAAGAAAGGATAGCATGGAAAAAAAATTGGATATGTGTGTGTTTCTGTGTCTCTATATAATATGCACACATCCATAAATACATAAAGAAAGAACTGGCAGGCGCCAGGTTGGGGAAGGGCCCACTTTTCTGTGGTTTTCTTCCGCCGGAAGCGAAACCGCTTCCCCTTCATGAAGCTGCCGCTCTCTCCCTCTTCTCTCCATGACTCTTCAAAACCCGGCGCGTTGAGAAGGAAGAGACCACTGCGTGACGCCACTCGGAGGCGGGACCTGAACGGCGCTGTGAAGAGGACAGGAAGTTACGTCATTAGCGTGCTTGGACGCGCCGGAAACGACGACCGTGAGGCTCGTCACAGCCCAGCGTTGAGGGGAAAAAACGCTCCGTTCGGGCGCCTGCCTTCAACTGCCCAGTGAAGAGCGCCGGAAGTGACGTTTGGGCGTGCAGGAAATGTAGCACTGAGGCGCGTCCTGGCTCTGCGCTGAGGGAAAAAAAAAAACTTGGCTACCCGAAAGGCACGGTGAAGGACCGGAAGCTGCGTCACAACGTGCCCGCGCGCGCCGAAAATGCGGCCTTGAGCGGGGGGGGGCGCACGGCTCCGCGCTGAGGGGGAAAAAAATGAAAAAAAAAAAAAAAGCTTGGGTCCCTCAAGGACCGGAAATTGCGTCATGAGGTGCCCGTGGGATGGCATTTCCGCGCGTCATGACTCCGCTCTGAGGGGGGGACGGGAAAAAAAAAGAAACGTGGGTATCCGAAAGGCCCACAGGAAGAACGACCGGAAGTGACGTCACGACGTGCCCGCGCGCGTCGTCAATGCGGCCCTGAGGCGCTATGGTTGAGGAGGAAAAAAAAATGAAAAAAAAAAAAAAAAGGAAGCTTGGGTCCTTGAAAGACCGGAAGTTGCGTCATGAGTGCCCGTGTGGTGACATTTCCGGCGCGTCATGCCTCGCTATGAGGAAAAAAATGAAAAAAAAAAAAACAACGAAGCTTGGGTCCCTCAAAGACCGGAAGTTGCGTCATGAGGTGCCCGTGTCGTGGCATTTCCCTGGCGTCATGGCTCCGCTCTGAGGGAAAAAGAAAAAGAAAGGTGGGTCCCCGAAAGGCCCACATGAAGGACCGGAAGTGGCGTCACGACATGCCGCTCGCGCACCGTCATTGCGGCCCTGAGGCGCTATGGTTCCGCGCTGAGGGAAAATAAAAAAAAAAAAAAAACAAAAAACCCGAAGCTTGGGTCCCTCAAAGGCGGAAGTTGCGTCATGAGGTGCCCGTATCGTGGCATTTCCGGCGCGTCATGGCTCCGCTCTGAGGGAAAAAGAAAAAAAGAAAGGTGGGTCCCCGAAAGGACCGCAGGAAGGACCGGAAGTGGCGTCACGACGTGCCCGCGCGCGCCGTCCTTCCGGCCCTGAGGCGCTATGGTTCCGCGCTGAGGGGGAAAAAAAAATAAAAAAAAAAAAAGGAAGCTTGGGTCCCTCAAAGGTCGGAAGTTGCGTAATGAGGTGCCCGTATCGTGGCATTTCCGGCGCGTCATGGCTCCGTTCTGAGGGAAGAAGAAAAAAAGAAAGGTGGGTCCCCGCAAGGCCCGCAGGAAGGACCGGAAGTGGCGTCACGACGTGCGCTCGCGCGCCATCCTTCCGGCCCGGAGGCTCTATGGCTCCGCGCTGAGGGGGAAAAAAATGAAAAAAAAAAAAAAGGAAACTTGGGTCCCTCAAAGACCGGAAGTTGCGTCATGAGGTGCCCGTATCGTGGCATTTCCGGCGCGTCATGGCTCCGTTCTGAGGGAGAAAGAAAAAAAGAAAGGTGGGTCCCCGAAAGGCCCACATAAAGAAGGACCGGAAGTGGCGTCACGACGTGCCCGCGCGCGCCGTCCTTGCGGCCCTGAGGTGCTATGGTTCCGCGCTGAGGGGAAAAAATTTAAAAAAAAAATACAAAAAAAAAACAAAAACGAAGCTTGGGTCCCTCAAAGGCCGGAAGTTGCGTCATGAGGTGCCCGCGTCGTGGCATTTCCGGCGCGTCATGGCTCCGCTCTGAGGAAAAAAAAAAGAAAGGTGGGTCCCCGGAGGGCCCGCAGGAAGGACCGGAAGTGGCGTCACGACGTGCCCGCGCGCGCCGTCCTTGCGGCCCTGAGGCGCTATGGCTTCGCGCTGAGGGGGAAAAAGAAGAAGCCAAAAAGCGAAGCGTCCGGCGCTTGCCTGGGCCTGGCCGGCCATGGCGCCGATGGGCATCCGCCTCTCGCCGCTCGGCGTGGCCGTCTTCTGCCTGCTGGGCCTGGGCGTCCTCTACCACCTCTACTCGGGCTTCCTGGCCGGCCGCTTCGCCTCCTTCCTGCTGGGCGGGCCTCCCGCGCCGGCGGCCGGCGGCGGCGGCCTAGTCGACCTGCGGGAGCTGCTGGCGGCCTCGGTGGCGGCGGCCGTCCGCGGCGGCCTGGAAGTGCGTCGGGTCCGCGAAGGCAACCAGCTCCACGCCCGGGCCAAGGGCAAGACCCGCGAGGGGGCGGAGGAGCAGTTGACCAGCGGCGACCTGCTCTCCAACCGGCAGATGTACTTCCTGCTCAAGGCCGCCTTCCCCGGCGTGCAGGTGCGGGGCAGGGGGTGGGGGGGACGCCAACGCCCGGCGGGCCCTGGTTTCTGGGGTGGGGGAGGCGCCCGGGGGGGGGAGGAGGGAGGGCCTTGGTGGTCCAACGCCGTCCCTGCAGGGCAGGCTCTGCCGAAGGGATCCGTGGGGGAGGACTCCAATTCCCAGAGTTCTCAGCCGGCATGCTTTAAGAGGGGAGGACTCCAACTCCCAGAGTTCCAGCCAGCATGCCTTAAGAGGGGAGGAGTCCGAATCCCACAGATCCCAGCCAGGATGCTTTAAGAGGGGAGATCTCCAATTCCCAGAGTTCCCAGCCGGCGTGCCTTAAGAGGGGAGGACTCCAACTCCCAGAATCCCCCAGCTAGCATGCTTTAAGAGGGGAGGATTCGGAATCCCAGAGTTCCCAGCCAGCATGCCTTAAGAGGGATGCACCTCAACTCCCAGAATCCCCCAGCAGGCATGCTTTAAGAGGGGAGGATGTCCACTCCCAGAATCCCCCAGCCAGCATGCTTTAATAGGGGGGATTTCCACTCCCAGAATCCCGTATCCAACATGCTTTAAGAGGGGAGGACTTCAACTCCCAGAATCCCCCAGCCGGCATGCTTTATGAAGGCGGGATTTCCACTCCCAGAATCCCCCAGCCGGCATGCTTTAAGAGGGGAGGACTCCAACTCCCAGAATCCCCAGCTAGCATATTTTAAGGGGGGAGGATTCGGAATCCCAGAGTTCCCAGCCAGCATGCCTTAAGAGGGGAGGACTCTAACTCCCAGAGTTCCCAGCCAGTGTGCCTTAAGAGGGGGGACTCCGACTCCCAGAGTTCCCAGCCAGCGTGCCTTAAGAGGGGAGGACTCCAACTCCCAGAATTCCCAGCCAGCATGCTTTAAAAGGGCTGGATTTCAACTCCCAGAGTTCCCCCATCCAGCATCCGTTCAGAGGGGTGGACTTCAACTCCCATCACTCCCAGCCAGCCCTTCGTGCAAGGGGACGTGGGCTGGACTACGACTGCCAGGCTTCCCCGCCAGCCATCTAGGCAAGGTGATGTTGGGGTGGACTACAACTCCCAGGCTCCCCAGCCAGCCCTACATGCCACGGGAAGCCGGTTGGGCTTCAACTGTCGTAATTCCCAGCCAGCAGGCTTTCAGAGGGGTGAACCTCAACTCCCATCCTTCCCAGCCAGCCCTTTGTGCAAGGGGACGCCAGCTGAGCCTCAACTCCCAGAATTCCCCCATCCCGCCTGCTCTGAGAGGGCTGAACGTCGACTCCCATCCTTCCCAGCCAGTCCTTCGTGCAAGGGGATGTGGGCTGGACTACAACTCCCAGGCTTCCCAGCCAGCCCTGCATGTAAGGGGAAGCCGGGCGGACTTCAACTCCCATATATCCCAGCCAGCCATGCCTGGACCGGGAAGCTAAGTGGGCTTCCACTCCCAGGATTTCCTAGCCAGCCTTATATAGAAGAAGAACCCGGGTGGACTTCAACTCCCATCATTCCCAGCCAGCCCTGTATGCAAGGAGAATTGGAATGAAGCTGGACTCTCTGGGATTCAAGTTAATTTCCACCCAGGCCGAGGGTGGTTTCCATTGTTTGCGGAGTGATGCCCTTGCTCTAGTGCAAGGGTTAGGCAACCTTGCCTCTTTGATGATTTGTGGACTTCAACTCCCAGAATTCCTCAGCCAGGACGCTTTAAGACAGGGCTCTTCCAACTTGGCCCTTTTATGGCTGGTGGACTTCAATTCCCAGAATTCCTCAGCCAGGATGCTTTAAGACGGGTATTCAAACTGAGCCCTTTTATGACTGGTGGACTTCAACTCCCAGAATTCCTCAGTCAGGACGCTTTAAGACAGGGCTCTTCCAACTTGGCCCTTTTATGGCTGGTGGACTTCAATTCCCAGAATTCCTCAGCCAGGACGCTTTAAGACAGGGCTGTTCAAAGTGGGTCCTTTTATGACAGGTGGACTACAACTCCCAGAATTCCTCAGCCAGGACGCTTTAAGACAGGGCTGTTTAAAGTGGGTCCTTTTATGACAGGTGGACTTCAACTCCCAGAATTCCTCAGCCAGGACGCTTTAAGACAGGGCTGTTCAAAGTGGGTCCTTTTATGACAAGTGGACTACAACTCCCAGAATTCCTCAGCCAGGACGCTTTAAGACAGGGCTGTTCAAAGTGGGTCCTTTTATGACAGGTGGACTTCAACTCCCAGAATTCCTCAACCAGGATGCTTTAAGACGGGTATTCAAACTGAGCCCTTTTATGACTCTTGGACTTCAACTCCCAGAATTCCTCAGTCAGGACGCTTTAAGACAGGGCTCTTCCAACTTGGCCCTTTTATGGCTGGTGGACTTCAATTCCCAGAATTCCTCAGCCAGGACGCTTTAAGACAGGGCTGTTCAAAGTGGGTCCTTTTATGACAGGTGGACTTCAACTCCCAGAATTCCTCAACCAGGATGCTTTAAGACGGGTATTCAAACTGAGCCCTTTTATGACTCTTGGACTTCAACTCCCAGAATTCCTCAGTCAGGACGCTTTAAGACAGGGCTCTTTCAACTTGGCCCTTTTATGGCTGGTGGACTTCGACTCCCAGAATTCCTCAGCCAGGATGCTTTTAAGAGAGGTGTTCAAACTGGGCCCTTTTATGACAGGTGGACTATAACTCCCAGAATTCCTCAGCCAGGATGCTTTTAAGACGGGGTTCTTCAAACTGGGTCCTTTTATGACAGGTGGACTTCGACTCCCAGAATTCCTCAGTCAGGACGCTTTAAGACGGGGGGGTCTTCCAACTGGGCCCTTTTGTGACTGGTGGACTTCAACTCCCAGAATTCCTCAGCCAGGACGCTTTTAGATGGGTGTTCAAACTGGGCCCTTTTATGACAGGTGGACTAATAACTCCCAGAATTCCTCAGCCAGGACGCTTTAAGACGGGGGGGGGGTCTTCCAACTGGGCCCTTTTATGACTGGTGGACTTCAACTCCCAGAATTCCTCAGCCAGGACGCTTTAAGACAGGGCTCTTCCAACTCGGCCCTTTTGTGGTTGGTGGACTTCAACTCCCAGAATTCCTCAGCCAGCACGGTCATTGCAAAGGATACAGGGAATTGAAGTCCATGCATAAAGAAAGGTCTAGGCTGGTGTTTCTCAACCTTGGTAACTCTTAAGATGGGTGAACTTCAACTCCCAGAATTCTTGAGCCGGCATGGCTGTTTCAGGAATTCTGGGTAGTGAAATCCACAAGTCATCAAAGAGTCAAGGTTGCCTACCCCTGCTTCTAGTGACACAATTTGACATCGGAGACAGAGTGTTTCGGGGTGATGCAAATTGTCCATCCAATGCAAAGCTTGTCCTTGACTCACAAAGGTGTGTTTAGTGTGTGAATATGTGTTTACTGAAGCTGGCAGTGTTAACACAGGCTTGTGCAATAAGGACTTGTACAACAGCTGGTTCACGAAGGAAGCCGGTTAACCGTTGAGAGGACAATTGGAACTGTTCAAATAATGTCCTTGCTAAAAGGACAATTAACACAGTGAAAGGGAGAGTGAAAAATGGGTGGATAATTATCCGGTGGAACGGCGGACGTTGTGGGTGCTTCATTGCGACAGGTTTTTTTTTTTTTAGAAGAGACTGGACAGTCGGTTGTCTGAAATGGTAGAGGCTCTCCTTCTGGAGCGGGGTGGGTGGGTTTGGACTAGATGACCGCCAAAGTCCCTTCCAAATCTCATTCTGTGATTCTGTCAGGGTCTCCTGCTTGAGCAGGGGGTTGGACTAGATGACCTCCAAGGTCCCTCCCAACTCTGTTATTCTGCCAGGGTCTCCTGCCTGAGCAGGGGGTTGGACTAGATGACCTCCGAGGTCCCTTCCAGCTCTGTTATTGTGCCAGGGTCTCCTGCCTGAGCAGGGGGTTGGACTAGATGACCTCCAATGTCACTTCCAGCTCTGTGATTCTGTCAGGGTCTCCTGCTTGAGCAGGGGGTTGGACTAGATGACCTCCGAGGTCCCTTCCAGCTCTGTTATTGTGCCAGGATCTCCTGCCTGAGCAGGGGGTTGGACTAGATGACTTCCAATGTTACTTCCAGCTCTGTTATTCTGTGAGGGTCTTTTCCCTGAGTAGGGGGTTCGACTAGATGACCTTCAAGG